TGCTAATAATCCAGTCTCCCTGATAGATTATGCACTGAACAACTGAGAAAATAAAGAAACTGTGAAACTATCAGCCAGACAGTAAATAGGCTGTTTTCACATTCCTCTGCTGAAGGCGGTGGATATCCGTTTCCTCTAGAATAAATCTGAGTTTGAAAAAGGCCTGGGCAAACTGGGTTTGTGATGCCACAGCTCTGGACAGCCAAGTTTGGTTCGCTGGTTTTCTGAAGTTTGGAAGAAACTTGAAACCTCTGGTCTCAGCAGTCGGAACAAACCTTTCACCACCAGGAAGTGAAAATTGTATATGCTGGAGTGCATAATATTTACATGCTAATTCTGCTGCTAATAATCCAGTCTCCCTGATAGATTATGCACTGAACAACTGAGAAAATAAAGAAACTGTGAAACTATCAGCCAGACAGTAAATACATTTGACTTGTATCTCTTTTATACAGTATTGCTACATAATGAGTAAATGAGGCTCAAACAAACTGCTACATTTCTTCAGTTTTCACTCCTGCATCTCATCTTCATACAGCAAGTTCAGCAGTCTGTGTGTGTGTGTGTGTGTGTGTGTGTGTGTGAGAGTGGGTGGGGCCATATTTACATGTATTTAAATATTCAGAAATCCTGGAATTCACAACGAGGGGGCAAATGTTGAGACCTATTACAGAGGTTCACTAACTGTTAGACTACATATCGTTTATAGCAGAGTATTTTTATATGCAAATATAAAATGTCTCTGGAGTGGAACTTTAAATAACTGCCCAAGGCCCAAAGGAATAAATGTATTCAAAGCCTCACAAAAAAATTAAAACAAATTTCACCAAAAACATTGTTGTTTCTTCCAGTCTGGTGACAGTTTTGGAGAGACACCTACACCTGGCATAAAACACCTAACTGTCTTCAGGTCATTCCACAGGCTCTCTATTGGGTTAGTGTCTGGGCTGTAATTATCAGAAATGAATGTACTTCCCTGCACAGTTATGGCCCAAAAACAAATTTTCAGCATTTGAATAATTGGGTACATATTCTTACCAAATAACTGCTGGCGCTGCGTTTATTTATACACTATTAATTTCATGGCTGACTTCTACTCTTCCCTCTTGGTTTAGTCTTTTGATTTATCATAATATTTATTGCTATGTTTTCTATGCAGAACTTTACACTCAGTTTTAACTTGGTGTATATTCACACAAGCTTAATAGATACAATATGCAAATTAGATACATAGAAATGGGTAACTATTTGCCCATCAAAGAAAAAAATATAAAGGACTGTCTTTCTCCACAAATTGCTCATCCTGCCAAACCTCAGGGGTGTGATATAATTTAGTGTGACTATCACAGCAGCATGGCACTTTTCTCTGACTTCATGCATTAAAACATGACTGAGTGATCAAAGGTGACAGCATGATGCACTCAGGGTGATCGAACAAAACACACAAAATCCAAACTTTAAATTTTTATTTACTTAGTTTTTGGCTTCTACTCTCAATTTTTTGAACTATTCCTGAATACATAAACACTGGATGTTTTTACCCTCAAACATTTCTTAGAACACTAAACCTAATTTAGGCTAATGGATGATCACAAATAGATTTCTAGAGAGTCAGCTTCAAGTAAGTGTTTTATAACTTTACCAAACTGCTTTGATAAATTAAAGCTACAAAAGGTCAGTTAAAGAAAAAGAAAACTTCTAGTTTCTAATGTTGGTGTATGCTTTTTGTGGCTGCTTCTCTTATTCTCTCTGGATCAGTGTTCATGGTCTTATCCTCTTCTTGGACTTTTCGCTCTCTGTTTTCCACACTGACTTGTTCCCACCTCCCTGCACAGCTGAGGCCAGGACACACAGTGTCATCACCCCTAGGCTTCCGTTTGATTGATTGGCAGTGTAAACCACAGAAAAGTGGAACAGAGAATTGGCAGTCACAGGAGCAACTTGTCATGTCAAAGTTCGAGAGCAGTGCTGCAGGGGGGACGGGCCCCATTTGTTCCATAAGGATTCATAAAAACAGATGCAAAGTAAGGACAAGAAACGACCACTGTCTTGTTTGAACAAAAGCTGTAAAGACAAAGCTGCTTTTGGTTTTACACTTCACAAAAAAACAATGAAAATAAAACTGCCTGCTTAATCCCACACCCAGGTACAGTGGAGCCTGAGAAGCCGCCTGCTCTGTGGAGACAAGGACGACACAAGTGATGTCTTTATTTTCAAGCTGGCACTCGTCACAAGAAAAGAACGATAAGGAGGAAAAGCACTGAGGTGTAGTGAGTAAATCTGCTTTGCACAACTGTGTCTGTTGGCAAGTTGGGTGTTGTTCAGACAATTTGCCCTCCAGAAATCCACTAAACATTAATGAATGAATACTGCCAAAACATGTACTGTACAGGCAGCTGTACCAAATTAAAAAGATTTTTGCATAGAACTCACACACAGTTATTTAAGTCTTGTATACAACTTGTCCTATAATACAGCTGGTGTTTGGGGGTTTCAGGAACATTCAGTTCAGCACGCGGCTGCTCACACTTCGGAAGTGAGACATGAGTGTGTGAGAACAGTGCTCTTTGGTAAATTACTGCTATTCCTGTTACCTTGGTAATGATTATCAAACACTTGAGGCATGTTTTGGGGAGGAGTATGGGGGAAAAATGTCAAAACAATTTGTGTTGCAGGTATTTACTCTGCATCAGCCAGACCAGCTACAGTCTATGATGGAAGGAACTAAAAGTTAAAAGTAATCCTTGCTTATATAATGATTTTGTGGACAAATAGCAGAAAACTTTAGTAACACAATTTACGTAAGGTTTGAAAACTCAAAACTCTATTATGGCTGTTGCACTTACAGCTGAGGTGTGGCTCATGGTGAGAGAGACAGAGCTGCTCAGAGTCCAGAGGTATAATTTCAGAAAAACCCAAAAAATGGCAATGAGTGAATCAGGAAATATTTTGCAGCTAAAGGTGAGAAAATAGACTGTTGTTAGCTTGAAACTGTGACTTAATAGGCTTTCACTGAAGTGTGGGTGAATACCTATGTCATTCATCCTGAGATACAACATTTCAGATGTTATCAACAAGAGGAGATGCATTTCAGGTACTTTTGTAAATGAGGCTACAGCTACACCAACTCTCATCTTCCATAAAACATTCTAGGTTTGATATTTACAATATTTAGTCTGTTGACATCACACAACATACACAACTCGTGACACACACCCGTCATTCCTACCAACAAGCAAGTGGCTTTTAACCTGTGACAGATGTAAATCCTGAGTGCAATTTGTGCACAACTTGCAATTTAAAGTGAATGAGCAATCAAAGGCGACACATCACGACTGGGTGAGGATTACGCATGTGTGTGTCCTCTACAGCTAAAGGTCTCTCTCTTTGTTGTTCATTCTCTTGATATCTTTTTTTATAATGTCACACACCTTTGTCTAACCAACCGATGTTTTAGTAATCCGAACACATGCTGTGCCCAGAATATCCTCACTAAATGTCAGATTCCACAAAAAATATACAAGTAATTTTTTGTTATCAACCTTCTTTTAGTTTCTAATGTCATTTCTTTCACTTTTAAAAGCCAGTTGCTTTATCGTCAGTGGTGAGTCATTTTCCACTTCTGGCCTCATAATGCTGCTTCTGCCTTACAGGCAACTGTTGGTGTACATGACATCTAAAGAGCAGGATTTTTTTTAAGACTAAAAAGGCATAATTAGAAATTATATATAGTAACTTAATGGTAACCGTAATGATCTTATAGCCAAAAGCTCAGTAGTTAGTCATGAAATCTGATTATAAGCTGTAAAAGAATCTGCCTCTCCATGTCAGTTCAAATAACCAACATAATTCAAGGTGTTTCATTAACTTCACAGAACAGAATCCATTTAACAGTGCCTCATAACCTACTTAGTCCCAGCAGGACCCTAGAATATAGTAGTTTTGTTTAGTAAATGTACAGTGTTCTCAGACACGTCAACCCAAGGTCCTGTTTGCTGAAGTAATAAAAAGGGAAAACTTTGGAATAGCAGAATGAACTGCATATCTTATAACATCAAAGACAGTCTCCTGGTGTATTTCAAGCAGCAAAGTGCTTCCGAGAATTATATGCTCATTTTAACACCCAGGAGTCGATGATCGCACACGTTGATGATGCATGTCAAAATGCACAAATAATTGCCAGGTGATTAATGTAGACCTTGATGACTCTACCTCGGGTAATGGGGACTCAACTTGAACTCAACTCGGATTATTCTTAGGTGACTCAGACCTGAACACTGGAGACATGAGACCCGAACACTGAGGACTCGACTACAACACTGCCCACAGCTAACGGTGATGTCACACATCCTACGGTTCACTTCTGCATCACTGTAGCCGTTGTGTTACTATTCAAAATTCCAGCTGCTGCAGTACACCTGCAAAGTGAGAAAGCTGGGAAAGACTGGCTACACTGGGAATATCACAGCATGTAACATCAGCTCCACCTTTTGCAGAAACCCCTCACACAAACTGTTAGAGGATTTCTGCTTCTACATTGAAAGAAAGAAAGAAAGCTTCTACATCAATACTATAAAACCACAAAGATGCTGTGTAAATACAGAAACAACTTCTCCATTGCTACAGTTTTTTAGTTCTTTAGAGAGCTTAACAGTTGCAATACTTAATGTAGCTGCCACTGTATTGGTTTAAATCACATCCATTTTGTCAACACATTGGTTCAGCACAATACAAGAAATGCATCAAAAGATGTGAGCAAAAACTGTCAGCTAGCGCATATAGCTGGGAAAAAGTACCACCAACCTGCTACAAAACCTGTTTACCCCACCATCTCAATGACCACAACACACTCAGTGGAAGCATTGTCCTCAAAATACAAACCTCGCTGTCATTTGAAGCCACAAAACATTCCTCTTGCAGCTTTAAGACTCTACACTACTGGTCCAACTTTGCTGCCAAAAGGGTTGTGCGTGTTTCATCACCAGCAGTATGCTACTCACCATGGTGAAGCTGCCCTCTGTGTCGTCATCCAGCAGGCCCAGTCTGCACAAAGACTTCTCGTTCCTCAGCCAGTACTCAGACGAGTCCAGCACACTGTTACTGCACAGCACCTGTGGCACACAGATACACCCTGCTCAGGTACGAGCAGCACTGAAATCACATCACACAGGGACACACATGGAGCATATGACACACACACACAGACCTTCTGAGTCATCCGTTCACTTTCATCTCCCACTCTCTGTATTATCCCTCTGGCTGATGGGATCAATTGACCTTTCTCTAAAAAGCTTTATTTCAGGAAAAGTGTCCTCGGAAAAGAATCAA